CTGGTTTTGAAAGATTTTTTTTTTGTAAACCACCGTTCAACCAAAGAAAAGTATTATGCATTGTGCTCACATAGAATGAGGAATTGTGACCAACGGCAAATCAGTAAACATTAGAACAGAATTAGAAAAGGTAACTGGATAATTCATCCCTCAAAAAAATTCTGATTTCTTTCAAGAGCTTAAATCTTTCAGGAAAACACTATTCTATGTGCCTGAATTATCTAGACAACTAATTCAATAATTTATAAGCAGATACAAGGTATTTGAATTCAAAACAAAAAGCTTTCCAAGCCCTTGATTCATCTCTATCTTATCCTTCCTCTTCACAATGTTTTTCATTTGAAGTTCAGCTTCTTCCACAAGAAATTACAAAAGTTAATTAGTAAGGCGTTGGTTTGCAAAAACACTAAAAATTTAATTTCTGAAGTGTTTCTGAAAATGAATTAATGGTTGTACATCTCAAGTGTATCAGTAAGATCTGACTGCTTTGCTAAACGTTTACAGTACTGTGAAAATTTAAGCCAGGCTGTGGGGGCTAGAAACACAAAATGTTTCTTTTTATGGAACTAAGTTGCCCTGCAGTCTAAAGCTAAGTAGGTGTACATTAGACCAAAAGATCATGAACGAAGATACTTCGCTATGCTTCTGTAGGCAAGCGATAGAAAAATTCCAACATAAGGGACAAAATCCTGTCAGTGTAATAAACCTGGACTCTAGCCAAAATGAAATTCCTAAAAGCTGTATGCTTTTAAAAAATAGAACTAGTACTTTATTCTGAAAGATGCTCTGATCTTTAAGATTTTAATGGCAGAGGACTTAAATGAGGACGGGTGAAGCCTTTCGGTCCTGCATTTCAAAAATCACCCTTACCTGTTGCCCTGTACCTTTACGTAATTTTAAACATTGCAATGAATAATGTTAGCAAAAATTTAGATCAGTATCTACAATTAAAATTTTAAATTACTTTTCTACCCAGCAGCATGCACAAGTTTCTTTCACTTTGTTAGAAACCCAAGAACATTTTAAGCTTTATAGGAATAAAATAGTTCAATGCAGGAGATTTGGAAATCTTAAGGCCTTAAAACCCTTACCTAGTAAAATAGGATTTCTTGTTTTTAATATATTTTGTGTGTATCTATAAAACTTGGAAATTCAAGATTCCAAGTAAAGTTATTTCTTGAGTTAAAAAAAATAACCATTTTCATTGATGGTAGTCCAAAATCAAAGATTTATTTAGAAAAATGAGTATTTCAGTCATTTTTATGTGTGCTATTACATAATTATATAAATTAAAGTTATAATTTATATAACTTTAATATAGTGTTCACCTTCTTCTAACCGTCCAAAAATCTGTTTGTAGATATTCATGTTGAAGAAAAACTACTTGATTCATCTGCTAATCTGATAGCACAATTAACTAGAAAGGAAATCTAAAACCAGCATCCTTAACGTTTTAACACTTCTTGGATATTCTCCAGGGTACACCTAGCACCCAATGCTGGGCCCACAGTGATGCAGCGCATGGTTGATTATCCAAAGGGAACAGATGTGTTCGAAGGTAAGTGAAACCATTCTTTACCATAGACTCATGGATCAGCCAGATGTCAACGGGGGATCAATTTTAATGGTTTCCAACATGATTACATGAAAAACTAGTTTTCGTTCTTCAATGTAGCAAATAAACAACTGAATGTTGCATTTCACTTATCAAACATGCAATTTGTGTAACCTGCTATTCTAGTTTTGCAATGTTTTAAGAAGTTATTTCCAGATCTCGTGTCGGAATATTGTTTTTATGAGAACATCCTGTTAAGCTTGTTAATGTGCTCAATTGAAAGTGGTTGGTCAGTGGGATTAAATAATAAAGTGAACTCCCAACATCTTCAGGGAGCTCCGAGATACTTTGCCTTTCAGTGGCAAAGGACTCTACTTACAGCAAGATAAAAAGCACCACTTTCTTTTTTTGCAAGTTGTAACCATTCAAGAAATGACTTGATGGAGGCCAAATGTATGGTCCTCTTTTATGTGAAAAATTTGGTTGCCTAAAATCAAGTTGATCTACATATAATTAAATACTGTTTTTCCAATTAAAAAGGGAATGAGGACTCCCAGTTACAAATTTTCGATTGTGCTTTATGGTAAAATCTTTGTGGCTTCCTATCCAAAGTCACGAGGAGCTCATAAATGGTGCATTTCCAAGCTCTGGATCTCACATTCCACTTCTGTAGAATATTAACCTTACTGTAGGTCACTTTATATAAATGTGTTTGACAGCAGTATGTAATTTTTTAATTTTTTGGTGGCACTGGGGTTGGAACTCAAAGAGACTCATGCTCTTACTTCTTGAGCCACTCTGTCAGCCCGACAGCAGTTTTTAAAACTACTATTTTCATAGTGGTCTAGAGGATTGGGAATGAGGGAGGGTTATAGATTTCAGGATTTACACAACCTCTCAGGTGAGTGCCTGTCTCTGGGTTCCATCTAGGGCAGTTTGTGACAATTCCTCAAAGTCCTGTCCACACCTGAGTGTTGCCAACACCTTAGGTCAACCAGGAACAATTCTCACCCTGACACATACATACCCAACAAGACAGGCATGAAGTTTGGACAATCACAAAGAGAATGAAGTTCTTTTAATAGTGCACTTTAAATACATCTTAAAATTACAACTGCAAAATTAAAAACCTAGGACCTTACAAGGTCTCCCAGCAACAGAAAGGACGGACATTTTTTGAACGATTGAATGCCTGCTAATTCAATTGCCTAGAAGTCCACTCATTAGCCAAGCAGTCTCCCAAATGAAGACATCAGGTCTCCTTCAATTTTCCACTGAAACAGAACACAGGAGACTAGATTTGACCCATCGACTTTGAGTAAGATTACACATGAAAAGTGACTAGGGCTGTGTACGGATTAGCAATTGTACCTCGTGTCAGGTAAAACCTATGCTGCCACCAAAGTTTGAAGGCTTTACAGTTTTCTAGGGAATTAGCTCAGCTTTCATGAGGTACACTATAGAAAATGGGTCATACTGTTGTAAATGTGCATATAATATCTTCTTAATTGATTAGAAAGGTTGGATATTCCCATTTGGGTGACCTAAGGCATCCTAATAACTTCATAAACTGAAAAGAACTGATATTAAAATAAAGATGCCACATACTATACTTGGAACCTATATCATACGTGATCATAACACAAAGACACACAGGAAATTCTCAGTTCATATAATTTATTGCAGTTAGCACACAGTTTAAAAATTCACCAACACACCAATAGTACAAAACTAAACAGCATTATAAGTTATTCCCCTCAGGAAAATAAAACAGACTGTGATTGTCAAAGCTAGTTGTCAGTCTAAGTTTTCGAACAAAGGAAGAATGTGAAACTAAGTAAAGGAAAAAGCAATCACTCACAACGACCACAAAAAGAAAATCCAAAAGAAAGTCCGTTTTCTCACAGACATTGATTGTCTTCTCTAAATTAATACAAATTATTTAACATAAACTGTATTTAAAAAAAAAAAAAACTAGAAACTCTTCAAGTAACTAAAGACAATGCTCCAAGGCCATTTTTCACAGCTTTTTTGTTTGTTTGTTTGCTTTAAATGCAATTACAGCCAAATTAACACACGTTTGACCAAATATTTCCAAAACAGTCCAGCAACACACAATGGAGTTTTCCATTCAGTATCTTAAGCACAAAAATAGGCTGTTTACAGTAGTTAAGGCGATCAAATCTTAAACAAAAACAATTTTAAAAGAAGGAAACCAGCAAATGTCCTCCATGCTCCTCCCATAGACCTTATTTGTAAGTGCAAGACAGGAAAACAAACACTGTGCAAAACGCTTTCGCCCGCGTGCAGGTCATCAAGCCGTACACTAGGCTGCAGCCTCTGCTGCCGACACACATGGTCTACTAACCCCTTCCCCTGTCAATCAAGGCAGTCCAGTCCTTTCAGCCTGGGGCTTTTTCAGTCCATAGAATCTTTTCATGAGTGGGGGGGGGGGCAGAAAAGGGAGGGTAAGGAAGAAGGGGAGAAAAAGAAAGGAGGCACAAAAAAAAGAAAGAGAGAATGACCTATTGTCAATTTGTGCAGTAGTTATTCTAAAGACGCTCAACTGAGTAAATGCGTACACCTAAACTCTGAGCTGGCATGGGTTCTGTGCAATTAGAAGTTTGTTATAAATGCACACTGCACATGCAAACCTTTAAGCCATTTGTAAACATTTATATGTTCCTTGTTATATAGCAAAGTTTTCAATTTGCAGCTTAAGTTTTTATTCAGCTTAACAGTTTCAACTTAAAGACAGTGGGAAAGTCAATTTAAATTTAAATTATATAAAATAAAAATAAAAACAGTGCATTTACGTTCTTCATAACACCAGGTTTTTTCCAAATGGTGCTATTTTTCTAAGAAATTAAATAGTTTTAAACTCACTCATTAAAGTTATACAATGCAAACAAAGACAAAAAATATATTGAAACTCATGCATTTCTGTAGCGTTAATATTTACTTTTCAAGACTCAACTAAGAGCATCAACACAACCTGTCAAGTTCTTTGACACCCCCCCAGCCCGTGTAATCAATTACAGTATACAAGAACAGTAATTCACATTTTTAAACACACAGTTCAACACTGCTGAAGCTGCACTATCCTTTTCATCCCAAGCAACCTTCACAAAGACAGTGTCCCAGTGATCCCAGTGTACTGCAGAATCCCACTCACTGGGAACCGTCAGAAAACCAGAAGTTGCCACTAGAAAGTTTAAGTCAACTGCTTGTTTAAAAATAGATAATCCAGCATTTCAGAAAATTTCCATTTGGGTCTAAAAGCATTCAGGTTTCCAACAGCCAGAAAAGATTCATGCAATTTGAGACAGAGAAAGAGGCTAATAACACTGGAGGGGGATTTCTTTCTACTTTAAAAAGTGAAACAAAACAAAACAAAACCAAAAAAAAAAAAAAAAAAAGAAAGAAAAGAGAATGTTGTGGGGCACACACACACACACACACAAAAGCTCAAAGACAATGCAGTGTTGACAAAATTAAGCCATATGAAAGCATTTGTGATAGGACAATTTGTTGAGAAGGTTCTTACTGGCTTCCTTAGCCTATCCTTCAAAGGAAAGACACCTCTCTATTCTCTGACTTGCTCTAAGTCTCTTTTATCAGAATGCTAAATTAGTGAGATTCTCATGCTATTATTCTAAAGTGCAAAAAACAAGTTAAGATCCCAACTTTTTAGTTCCAGGAAACAAGACTGCTTTTAGACCGTACCACAACTATATAGAGATCTATGTATATATATGTATATGTATATATATATATATATATAATTTATATATATATATAAAATTATTTCCAAAGTTCTTGAGAGCTATCTTCTAAGGTCCAGTCTCTGACAGTGGGCAAGCTCAGTGCTTCGCTTTTGACCGACAAGGAGTTCACCAACTCACAGTGGAACTTGCGGATGTGTCTGTACAGGTCTCCGGACTGCGTGAACCTGCGCTCGCACCACTTGCAGGCGTGGGGCTTCTCGCGGGTGTGCACCACGGCGTGGCGGCTCAGGTTGTGGGAGTACTGGAAGCTCTTGCCGCACTGCGTGCACGTGTAGGGCTTCTCCCCCGAGTGAGTCCTCTCGTGGCGCTTGAGCGTGTACATGCACGAGAACGTCTTCCCACACAGCGAGCACGTGGGCACATTGACATCGGCGGTGGGCTTGCTGCGCAGGCCGTCCTGCTCGCGGAAGTGCGTGCTCAGGTGGATCTGCAGGATGTGCGGGCTGGGGAAGACTTTGTTGCATAGAGGGCACATGAAGATCTGGCCCGCGGGACTCAGGATGTTGGACACGTAGGGGAGCAGGCTGCTCTCCATGCCCCCTTCCACCTGCACACGCTCGCTCTCAGGGGTCATCATCTCGTCATCGCTGGCTTTGTCCTCCCGGTCCAGCTCCCTCAAGACCGAGTCCTCCCTCAGAGGGGCCAGATGGGCCGGCTCATACTGTACCCTGTTGTTAGTGCTCACACTCTCTTTCACAGTGCTATGTTCCATGTCATAGTCATTAGTGCCAACATCACTCTCATCACAGGACGCCTCTTTCTCCACCTTCACCTGCACCAGGTTGCTTCTCAGCACGTCCTGTGAAGAGAAATAAGAGCTGTTCAGATTTTCAACTCCTGAAAGGCTGGACTTGACAGACAGGTCCAGCACACAGTCAACATCTGCCGAATCCCTCACGGAGGTGACAGACCTCTGGGACAAAGACTCTGTTGAGCTGCAGGGGCTGGCTACTGTTTTCCCAGCTGCTATGGCGTGTGGCTCTGCCTCTCCGCCTGCCTGGGGGATGCCTGCCGAGTCGGAGGGCAATCGCATCCACACGTTCCCAGGCTCCGCTGCCAAGTCCCTTTTGCTGGGCAGGATGTTCAGTTTTTCATCTTCACCTTCATCTTCATCACTGGGCAGGTTGCCGGCCATGTGGCTGCTGCCATCCGAGAGGCTCTCGACTTTGTCAGAACAACTTGAGGCGTCTTCTTCCTTTTTGGTGCTGTCGGCCTCAGTGGTGGCTTTCTCTTTCAGCTTCTTTTTGCAGACTTTGACAATGTCATACATGTGGAGATAACTGGCAGCTGCTAGCACGTCTTCAATGGGCAAGTCTTTGAACTGGAGTTTCCCTTCATACATGAATTCAAGCAGGAGAGCGAAAGCGGGGGCTGTAACAATGTCGCTGTTCAGATGAACAATGTCTCTTTTGTCCAGCTGGTCCTTGTAAAAGAGGTGGAAGTACATGCTGCACGAAGCCAGCACAGCTTGGTGCGCTCGGAACTGGGCATCTCCCACCAGAACAGTGCAGTCACAAAGAAAGCCCTGGTGTCTCTGCTCGCTCAGACACTGCAGCAAATGTCTACTGTGGTCTGGAAACTCCATGCTGTCTTCATAACCTGGGAAGAGAGGAGTTTCTCATTAGAGCCTGCTTAGGAAATCATTTCAGTGCTCCAGTCCCCATATAAAAAATAATTCTGCCCTGGCTGACACAGTAGGCATCCCTGAATGTTAATCAGCTCATAGCCCAAGGATTACCAAATCACACAGCAAGACCTAGTCACCAGAAGAAAAACCGTCACTTTGCAAACTTCCTTAGCCTAGCCAAATGCTCTGCGAAGCACCCCCACCTTCCCGAACTTTTGGTGAAGTTTTTAAAGCCATCAGTTAACTACAGCTTCTTACTGAGAACACAAATCCAGCTCTCCTTCCTAAGAATTTAACTCTACTCATCAAATTATGTCCCACAAAACCTGCAAGATACGCTTAGTTTCAAAGGGTACAACTCATAAAAACAAAGGAAAGTCCCAGACATATCCTAGATTCAAGAAAAGTTATTTTATCACTTGTGATACCTGACTGTACTTAGAAAGCACAGTTTAAACACACACCCATTTGGCTGAATCAAGAATTAAAAAAAAAAAAAAAAAAGAAATTGCATAATTAGTCCAGAAATCAGCAAACAACTTACTTTTAAAGTCAGAGTGTTACAACAACAAAAACCCTGTGTATAAAAACAGATGTTGATGTCTAAGATTTGCAGGTATGGCACACATGGACGAGATCAGAAGGAACTACATCAACAGATGGAAAAGATCATCTTTACTCTGAACAAATCCAAAGATTTTTTTTTTTAATGAATTGAGAAAAAAAAATGGTTCTATTTCTTTGTAGGATCTGTACTTCCACAGTATTAACTTCCAGAGGGGCTTTATTTAACTCTGAAAATTCTCATTGAACTTTGATCTGCTATAAGGTAAAACAAGTTCCATATTAAAATTAATTTAAACTTTTAAAAATAAAGGAATACAACTCTTAAATGCGAAACTTCACATAGATTCAACATTTGGGGAGATGAAGCCTCTCTCCTAGAGAAGAGAAACTTTTTTTTTTTTTCCAGGTTCTTCCTTGCCTCACCAGTAAAAAAAATACTTTGTTTCAACATAACTTGTTATATTTTGTTTTCCCACTAGTTTCTATTCTTTCAATTCTGCTTCTTTTCATTGTTTTCTGGTGAGGGAGGGTGAAAGGAGAGGAAAGGCAAAGATGTAAAAAGGGTCAAAATTCAACTGCACTGGGTAAACCCCTTAAAAATAAAGAGAACCTGACTTCCCCTTTCCAGACCAGAACGAAGGCTCCAGACCATCCGTCTCAGCAAGTTCATTTTGGGGATAGATACGACATTAATATTCAGAAGCGACTTCCCTTCTCCTCTATACTCTGTTTGAGATAGACTAAAACTTTCAACTTAAACCCAGATACATTCTGCAAGATGCCACCACTAGAATAAACCAAGGTTTACAATACAATCACTTTAAGTGCCCCACAGCTAACATCAATCCTAATCCTTGAGAGGGCTAAAAATAAAGATTGGAGGGCAGCTCACAAGGTAGCCGTGATCAAATTAGGAGGCTGAGAGGACAGAGAGGGACGAAGAAGGAAGCTTATAAACATCTGATCCAGCTGACTGTGGCCATATGGCAGCTGCTGCCCAGATAAAGAGATTAAGAATAGAGGAGTGCGATTACAGCTGTCTGGCCAATTCAGGCAGCTCAAATCTACAAGTTCTAAATTAGTCACTAACACAAAAACTCCTGCAAATAATTATTGTTATGCTGAAATAAAAGATCTCTTAAATATATATCTGAAAGAGAAATGAGGAAACCAGTCAAACTATTCTCCTGGGGACAAAAGTTTTTTTTTCTTCTTCTTAAAAAACCTCCGGTTTCAAAAGCACTACAGCTGTATGTTTCAGCAGTGCTGCTGAATGTTTTGAAGAATAAAGTTTCACAGTGGAATTAATTACACAACCACCTAGCTTCTTAACTAGAGTAATCTTCTCATGTAAGTTTGAATGCTGGATTCCAGACAGTTTACTATTTCTCCCCCACCCCAAGCAAAAGCAATCTAAGTAGCAGTGAACAACAAAAAGGCATTTTAATCCAAAGTGAGCTCAAAAAGCAGTATTTCAAAGCCTTTCTAAACATCACAAAACTTGAAATATTTCTGTGTATTAATTTCCCTTGCTCAAGTAAATGGGATAAAAATTAAAATTAAGCAAGCCCAAGACCTTCAACTCCAGTAAGACTGTCACTTTATACTCAATTTCATGTATTGTTCCTAAACTGGATTAGAAAAGTAATGTGATTTATTTTTAAAAAAATCAAATAAACAAAACAGAAAGATGCTCAATGCAATCTCTTCTACTCCTACCTTTAGGACACATAAACTTGATTAAGTCCTCTCCTCTGAGTCTTGCTGGCTCCAGGTCTGTTACATCGGTGGAAAAAAAGCAGACTAAGAGAGACAGATGCAAAGTGGAGATGTTGTTGGAGAGGAATGAGATACCTTCTCCACCACAGATCCGCACACACTAGCTCCCTGTCTGTGTGTTAGAATAAAAGGCTGAGGGATGGCAGGCTGTCAGCTGCTCTGACATCATGTTCAGATGGAAATGCTACCTCCAGCTGTGCTCCTTTTAATGCCATATGCTACTCCTCTACACTCCTGCCACCAGCTTTTTCTTAGGAGAACTTTTCTCTTCTGTTAGTATAAACAAAATACTTCAAAGTCTTCCTTTTTTTCCAAACTTTCTAACAGAAGAAATTGAAAAACTCAGCATATGGAGTTCTGCTGTATTTATGGAATAGCAACACTTCTGTCTTAAGTTGGTGGACTGGCTCACATACTGACAGCACACTCAAGCCACGGTGCTATTCAGGAAATCCAGATTCACTTTTATTCAACTCCAACGTTAGTTTCAAAGGCAGCTCAGGGATATTTTTAAAGCAACCCATTTGACATCTCCAGTCCCATTTCAACGTTAGTACTGCACTTTTTTTTCCCTGCAGAGATAATGGTATAGTCTCGGAAATGTTGGCAGACTTATTAAGAACTATTACTTCAGCCTGGTTCACCTTATTATTTCACTCTTAGTTAACAACTGATCTACAACTACCTCTCAAGAATATTTCTCACACTGCCACAGCTAATGCAAATTTCAACTTTCAGTATCAACAAGCTGAAACTGCACTTTCTGAAATCCTGGAAAGTATTTTAGTTCAATGAGACAAATTAATAAACTGACACAACCTGCTACAGTCACTTAAAATGAATGCTGCACCTGTATATCTGACCTGACTCCCTGCTCAGAAAAAGCAGAACCTTATCTTCCCCTTGATCTATGTCCATAACAGTCTTTTTTATTGGGGGGTGGAGGGGAGAGACGTCACTCGGAATGTTCGTGATCACAAGAAAACCTTGGAGGGGGGGGCAGGTCTGGTGAGTTTGGGAACTTTTTAGCTAGTTTGTGGGTCTTTCCCAGTGGCTGATGAAATGGTAACGTAATCGGGCTGGGTCGCCCAGTGCCCTGGAAGGTGCTGCGACATCTATGAATGTCAGACACATCTTCAGAGACTCTTGGGAGGGTGAATAGAGGAGCTGGGGCCTGGGGCTCAAGCGTCCCAGGCCCGGCGACAACCACTCGGTTCTCATTAGAAAACCGTGGCACAGAGTTGGAGTAACAAAACCCAAGACCTCCATCCTGTCCCGGCTTTCCCAAAGTCACAAACCCAACTTTCTCTAACTTCACGGTGGTGACATAATTCTGGACGACTAGCTCAGGAGCACTCTGGAGACAAATTCCTTCCCAGCCCCACAACCTATTCTCCACAATGCCCTCGCCCCATTCCAACATATCAGACATTAATCACCCCATTTACCCAGTGGGGTGGGGGGGGTGAGTGACAGTTTAATGAGCCCCAAGTACCGCAATGGGCCAGCGACTCCCACTCCACAAATCAACCCCATTCACGTCTCGCTACCGCGGATCCAGAGGGGTTTTGTGAGGTTGGGGTTTTGTTTCTCAAAGAGAGGGGGGCGGAGGTGCCGGGTGGGGAGTGGGGAAAGAAATGCAAATCTTTCCGTAGTTCGCGGTGCGAGAAGCACCGGGGGAAAGAGGAAGGCTAAAACCACAGGGAAGGAGGTGGAGGGCGGAGAGCCGGTGCAGCAGGAAAACACCTTGAACAACAGCCGAGAAAACAGACCCGGGTCACGGCAACAACAAAAGAAAAGTCGTAAGAAGCAGCTGGGGGATGGGGGGGGAGGTGGCTGCCACCGCTTCCCCCGACGCAGCCACGCGCGAGCCCCCGGTGCCTCCGGGCCACCGCACCAGCCCGGGAGGGGCGCCCTCCCCCGCGGCCCCCTCCCTGCCTCCCCCCGCACCGGGCGCCACTGCAGCTGCACCGGTCCCCGGAGCCGCGGCCGTCCCGGGCGCCACTGCAGCTGCGGCGGCTCCCAAGCCCCCTCCCCCAGCCCGCCGCCCTCCGCACCCGGGAGGCGCCACCGCAGCTGCACCGGCCCGGAGCCCGCCCCGCGCCGCACGCAGCTGCACCGGCCTTGGGGGTGGGGGGGCCCGGCGCAGAGCCGGGAGCCCGCACCCCGCCCGACCCCGCAGCTGCAGCGGCCCCGTCCCCGCGCCGGGCCTCCCGCAGCTGCGCCGCCCCCCGCCGCCCCAACAGCTCCAGCCCCACAAACTAACTCCACTCGCGGGGGCGCCCCGGCCGGCCCGCCCTCGCCCGCACTGCCCGGCTGGCCGCGGCCGCACAGCTGGCGCCCCCGCCCGCAGGGGCCCAGGCTCCGAGGGGCGCAGGGTCAGGGGCCGGAGGGCCGGCACCGGGACTCACACGGAGCGGCCCTAAGTCACCGCGTCCCCGCCGCCACCGCCGCGTCCTCCGCCTCCTCCTCCTCCTCCTCCTCCCGGCCGCCTCCGCCGCCGCCGCCGCCGCCGGACTTGGTGGGCTTCCTCCTCCTCGGGCCCCCCTCCCTCCCGGCCCCCCCGCCCCCCGATCCCGGCTCCGTCGCCTGCTCCCCCCCGCCCCTCCCTCCCTCCCACCCACCCCCGCTGGCAGCCGGAGGCGCGCGGCGGAGCGAAGAGGGCCCCACTCTCAACGGCTCCCCATGGCAGCAGCCCAGCGGCGGCCGCAGCCTGCCAGACACAGGAGGGAGCGAGCGAGGGAGCGAGCGCGGAGCCGCCGGGCCGGCCGGGGGGGGGGGGAGAGGGGGAGGCGGGGGGGGGGCAGGACGGTGGGGGCCGCGGGGAGGGAGGGGGCGGAGGACGCACCACGCACGCACGCGGCGGCGCCGGCCAGATGTTTTCCCCCAGCCCGCCCCTCTCCTCCCTTGCCTGCCCCCTCCCCGCGCCGGGCGTCTGCGATTGACCCAGAGCGCTAGGACCGGGCTCTCTACCCGCCCCCAGGCCCCAGACTCTTCCAATAGGAAGACAGTGTTTTAGGAGGGCGGAGGGGGCGGTGGGCCAAAGTCCGACTGACAGAAGGGCATAGCCAATAAGAGAGGTGATCCGGAACTGCCGCCCGCGCGTGCCAATCGCAGCTAGGGACTGTTGGGATGGGCGGGGCCCTGGAGGGCGGGGGCCGCGAGCGGAGCGGCGCGGGGCGGAGTCCGCGGGCGCAGCGGCGGTGGCGGCAGCGGCGCCCCTCTGGGTGACTTGGCCGTGAGAAAGTGAAAGGAGCCCGCAGGCGGCGGCGACAGCTGCGCTGGGAGGGGCTTGTTTCCAGGCTCGAGGCCCGCGCACTCTAGGGGTGTGAAGCAAGGTTTTTGCTGTGCACCGTGACGACCATAAATACACTTTTCAAATAGCAGGGCATGTCTGCTCTACTAAGTTACGCAGGTATTCTCGGGAAGCCGGGCGCTCGGGGACACGGGTGACTCGAGTCCGGCGTTAAGGCGGCTCCCTCCCGCTGTGCATGGCGCCGCCCAGGTCCTGGCCTGCCCGGGGGCGCAGGACTGCGGAGCGTTCCCGCGGTGCCCTGCGGTGTCCCGCGTCCAGGTGCGCAGGGGCCGCGAGGTGGCCGCAGCTCCGGGCGTCCGTGCGTCCTGCTGCAGGCGGAGCTGAGCGCACGCTGCTCTCCCAGAACCCCGGGTCCCCCTCTGCAGTTATTGTTACAAGCAAAGGTTCTCCCAAGTGACCACATTTTAGAGCATGTCAGTAAAATTGATACTTGCAGATACTTTAGCCCGATTCCTGAATTGGCATAACCACAACTTTAAACCACCAAGCAAGATGGAAGAATGCTGTGAACCTTTCCCCTCCGTTTCGAATAAACTTTTCCTCGGTACCTGTTCTTCCCAGTTAAACTATGCATCACTGCCCCAGCCATAAAAAAATGTAGAAATTTCTGCTCGCGAGATGCTGGAAATCTTGTTAAGGCAAGAATTACAAGCAAGTAAAAAGTTGGATAACAAATGGGGGGATGGCTCAAGAAAATAAAACAGAAAACTGCACAATGAGGAAGCCAGTGCACTCGAAATTGTTTATTTGCTGACCGAACCCGGACTGGCAAGCCTGTTGCTAACCAACTTGCCAGGAAACCCTTCGACTGGCAAAACGTGCCTTCGCTTTGCTCCATGTTAAATGGGTAAAGTAAGTTCAAAGTATTGTGTGGGCAAATCAGACTTGTTGAATTGCTAATGAAGAAGGAAAAGAAGAAAGAAAGAAAGAAAGAAAGAAAGAGGAGCACACAAAATTCCTGGAACTGAAATAGTGTTGGGTACCCGGTTAGAGGGAGAGGTAATATTTTATGCTCACTCTTCATCAACCTTACAGGTTCCTATTGTCTTATTGATCACTGAGGTCAAGGTTATCTTCTCCCTGATTGCTACAGTTTTTTGTTTGTTTGTTTTTAATTCCATGAAGTCTGTTGTATCCATGCCTTTCATGAATTCTGGGTCTTTCCAGTCTTCTTATAAAAGGCCCAACTTCATTCTGACATGTTTCACATTAGGGAAATTTATAAGTGTTCTTGCTGGATGAGAAAAAAAAGGAATGAGTGTTCCACCAACAATTTCAGTAAAAACAGAAAGAAAAGAGAAAAAAAAAGTGTGCCGTCTTAAAGCTTATTCTCGTCAACTAAAAGTTTAAAATAAGAAAAATAACATCTCTGGATAAACACTAATTGGTACTGTCAGGATATTAAGCAATAAATTCAGGAGGAAGATGGCGCATTCAGATTAGTCACAAGAAGCTTAGACACTCAATTCTATGGCGTCCAGAGCAAAGTTACAGCTCCAACAAAAGGTTTTACAGACTGTACCTATAAGTAGAATAACAGCTCCAGAGATAGACTAGTAGTTATAAACTACTCCCATTTGGAAGTTGAATAGGTAACCAGGAAATAGAGATCAAATGGATATTTAAAGAATCCAATTTGCCCCCCATAAATTCCATAGCGCTATTATCCAAGGTCACTGGTGTAATTTTATTTTCTCTGCCCCTTTTTAACTGTCTGACTTCATTTAAACTGTCTTAAGAATTTATTGTACAAATGATACTGTTAATTCTCTCTGGAAAGTCTTCAACATACAAATTGTAAACAAAGTATGATTGGTGTCAGAAGTATCCTAGTACAGAGTGATTACTATTTTTAGTCAACATCCATTGGAACCAAGGAAGATTAAAAAGTCAGAATGTAAACCCCCCTCCCCCACTTTAAGTAAAATCCTCTAAGTAGGGTCTGGTCGCCTCTATACAACAGGTGGAGCAAGTTAACCATGATAAAACTACTTGACAAAGTTGAAGTTTTAAAGCTAATAATCTTTTTTCCCCACACACAATGAATTAAAGTGCAAAGTACTGACACTAAGCTATTGCAAAAATACACCATTGCTTTCCCTTTGTAGAAATTTCATTACTGTACATTTTCAATTAATTCATGCTTTTTTCTGAGTCCTGAGATTAAAAAAAAAAGAAAAGAAAAGAGAATCTAACCATGAATGGTTAGATTTCTTACCAGGGAGCAAGTTTTATATTTTAATAACATGCATTTCAACCAATAACAATTTAACAGTATAAAATGCTGACAGATCAAATAAAATTTAATTTGATGACCAACTCCATAAAATGAATGTCTGACTTTTTAAATAGGAACCACAAGCTAAATCTTTCAAATCAGTCAGTGTTTTTATTACAGTTAACACAGTAGATCATGTTGAATAGTTACCTGTGAAACTAGTTTTTGAATATTGACATTTAATGAATTTATTCACATATAATTAGAATTTTTCTTTAAAAATTACAGAGGCAAATAACTAAAACCAAGGTGTGATATTTATGACAACTATAAAATATAACAAAAATGACCTGAAGTTAGCCTGCTTTTTCCTTTTTCTTTTCTTTTTCTTTTTTTTTTTTTTTTTTTTGAGGCAACAGCTCCTTAGCTCAGCTGGCCTCAAACTCCTGGCCTCAAATGATCCTTCTGCCTTAGCCTCCCAAGTATCTGGGACTACCCACCCTGCCTGACTGATTTTTAATCACCCACATAAAAGTTTGTTAAAATTCTATTAAGCCTGCTTACTTTTTATATCATAGCATACATGAAGCTCTATTAACGTACATAGATTCTCCTATTATTCTCCCCGCTCCTTTTAGAAATGAGCACACTGATGTGGTCTAAATGGAAGAGGAGGCTCAGAAGCACAGCTGAGACTGATTTAAAAGTAAATGAGCAATAATGAACAGGGTGCATATTTTCTACAACATGCTTTTTAAGTATATATACATTCACAATTCTGCACATCGCTCCCTTGGTTATAAAGTCTGTGATACTTGAACCTATTCACTAAATTCCTCAATTGTGACAAGCCCTGCACTGAAGATAATTCAGTCAGATTCTCAGCCCCGAGGATAAGTAAAAAGTTACAAAAATCCTTGCGGAAGGGCCCTCAAGATTTGTAAGGTATTGGAGTTCACCCCAGAAAGAAGGCAGAATGAACCTCCACCCATAATTCAAACCTGTGGAGGAGCAGAGAGGAGCAAATGATGCCTTCCCAGTACTGTTTTTCCTGTGTAGCCAGTTTTCGGTTGCTTCCTGTAATGCAGTGTTTTACAGACAGCATGAGTGATGGAGGTCACAAGTCCCATTGATTGGGACTAGACTGACCAGAGAATTGAGGAAGAAAGCGAAGAGATATTTCAGGTGCCACTCAATTCATACTTTGTTCTCTCTCTCTTTCTCTCTCTCCCCGCCTCCCCCCCAAAAAAATACTTTACGCAGTAGCGTATGACAGTTTAAAAATGCATACAGTGGTGTTCTTATAGTTAACCTTGTGTCATAAATACATATTCATCATTCACTTTACATATAATCCCAGACTTTTTTTCAGTGCAGGGACAGAACTCAGGGCCTCCTTGCACATGCTAGGCAAATGTTGTGCTACTGAACCACATCTCTAGCCCACCCCTGGCAACTTTTGAACCCCAAACTAGCTACACAAAAGGCCTTCCTGCAGTCAGTACGTTGATGGGAGCTCAATCAGTTAAAAATTATTTAAATGTTACCCTAAACAGAACAAATTAGTATAGGCAATTCTACCACCATTGAAAATCACACAAGAACTTCCAAAAACCAGATGTTGGAATTCACCTATTGTGTTGGAAGTTCCATTAATTTGAATAATTAAAAGATACATTTATTTCATCTGCGGGCTTTTTACTAGATTTAATTTTTAAGAAATAATCTAGCTAAATGTAGTACCTTTCCAGGTGAGTAAGTTCTTTTACAGTAAGATTTAATATGAGCCTATGATAGTCATACCCCTCTTTTTTTTAATAATGTAAGTCTTTGTGGGCTATAAATTAGTCTGAAATGCTGTAAAATATATAGCAAATAATAGTAGTTTGTTTTGTTCAAAATAAAATAACAGCTAACTATTTAAATGCCAATATCCATAGTTATAAGTCAGCTGCTTCAACTGGAGTTTGTAGAGATTCAGGGTGCTCAT